ATTTCATAGCCTCAACTTGCAGCAATTCGCGTTCCTGACTGGCGATTCGCGCTCCTTCTGGGGTGAAATGGATACAATTTGCAGATTTGATTCAATTGTGCATCGCCTGTAGCGGATCTGCAGCAGTGGTGTCTCGCTGGCGAAGCTGCAGTGACGGCTGCAATCGAACCGACGACAGAGAAAGTGGAGAAAGGGATAGTAGAGAGTGAAGAGGAGGGGAAGGGAGAGAGAGATGGCAGGGAGAGGGAGAGGAGGGGAGGCGAGACACAGAGAGAGGGGAGAGGAGGCGCACGAGAGAGAGATAGGTGAGGAAGTTGAGAGTGAGTGATAAATTAGGGTTAGAGTTTTAATATATAGTACCTGATTTTTGAATAAATAAATTTTAGCCCTGACTTTTAAAAAGTTATCTTTAACCGCCAGATTTTTTGTAATTTTCCTCGACTGTAATGTTATTTAAAAAGTTATCTTTAAACCCCTGATTTTTTGTAATTTCCCCTTTTTTTTTACACCTAGCGGGCCTGCCTAAATCCGCCACTGTCCATTGAGAATTGTGACACGAGATCAAAAGAAAAAAAACAATGCTACATGTACATCCACTTTTTTACCTATTTTTACCTACACTCACAATAAGATGTGGGGACCACACATTTGAGAATTTTTTATTTATGCGGGCCCCACGCGCATGTGAGAGTGTGTAACATTTTCGGTACAAATGAAATTGTCCAAAGAAAAAGAATGCCTCAAAAAATTCATCTCGTTACCCCTATCCTCCACTTTTGTGAGCAGGGAGTGGTTTGGCCCATGTCAGTTCCATTGAGAATTGTGAGACGAGACCTGTTTATCCCCCACCCTCGCCTAGGGGCGAGCACATTATGAAAGTGTAATAATTGATTTCATTGGCAAAAAGAGGACCAAACTAGAAGTCTAGAACCGACAATGAAAAAAATACGCTCCTTACCCCACACATTCTACCCGCTCCATACATCCACCGAGAAATTCCTATAAATTTGCATCCCGTTCTCATTCTATATCATCAGCAAACAACCTCCAGAATTCTGTGTTTCCTGCAGTGTAAACGACTGAGTAATTCAGTGAGTCAAGTCGATTTTTAGAGAACAAGAAATGGCAGGTCGTCCGTACAATGCAAGCCTTTTGTTGGTTATATCACTACTTGTATTGATTACACTATCCAACGTTGTTGAGGTAACAAATCTACTTCTCTTTTCTATCGATTTTATTTATTTATTTTTCATTTTATTTAGAACTACATTTTGTCGCTATATCTAAAATATTTTCTTGGATCTCTTTTGAATCATCGACAGGGATACAATAGACTTCACCCTCGAGGTATAGGATATACTGCGCACAATTACATAAATTAACTTTTCATTTAATTTCTTAATACTATCGAGTACTGCCAAACTCGAAAATGATGAAAATATTATTCTAATATTGATGCAGATTGCAATTCGAGATGCACGTATCGTTGCTCGGCAACATCCCATAAGAAGCCATGCATGTTCTTCTGTCAAAAGTGCTGTGCGAAGTGCTTGTGTGTGCCACCAGGCACTTTTGGCAATAAACAAACATGCCCTTGTTACAACAATTGGAAGACTAAGGAAGGAGGTCCTAAATGCCCATAAACAAATTAAAACAAACACATTTTGTTAATCCATAATCTATATAATCACTCTATTTTTATTGAAAGGGCGATAAGCAAATATGCCTTTTTGTTTGATTTGAGGAGAAAAACTCAGCTCGAAATGAAGTTGTAGACGGATATTGAGAAATATGATGGTTTTATATGATTTGCTTTTATGTACAAGTGAATTATGACGTATTTGTAATTTTATTTGCAATGTGGTTGTATTGTACTTGAAATTGAAACCTACTCTCTCCTCGTTTTCATTACTCTTGATATGACATGACGAATGCAACTTGTCTTTATTGAACAATCTATTGAATTGGTCATTGCTCGCTCTTCCAGTCTTTGATGACAATATTGAATAACAATTGAACTAAAATAAATGGTTTTTGAAAAGACGGTGTTATAAGTTTTTAAGAAATTTGGTATGGAATTCTATCCCCCTTTTTTTTTTTGAATGTTGGACTGATAGCCACAGTTCATTGTTAAAATTATTGCCTGAAACACAACAAAAGAATCAATTTAGGGGAAAAAAAAAGTCTACTAGATGTCTAATAGTGGACGCAGTTTGGTTCGATTCGATTTTAAAAGGAATTGAATTGAATTGAGTATCAATCGAAATCTTATAAATGAAACCGTTGATTCCATATCCAACTTTAGAATTGAACCAATCGGCTCCTATTCGGTCCGATCTGATTTTCTTATTGAAACAATGATAAAAATAACGAATGAAAACACTGTCAAATTGAGAATAGACAAAAATAGAGTATAAAATCGCTTTGACTTGTCATTATTGTAATCTAACAATACAAAAAATAAAAAAATAAATAAAAAATCAATTAAATAAGGCAAAAAACAAAAATCCATCCCAAAACTCAAGATCAACTTATAAAAGAAAAAATGATAAAATATTCAAATACAGCATAAATGGTAAAATTTTGATTGAAAATTATAAGTTAAGAAATTCATATAACAATAACCGGATTATCTTTTGTAATTCTTAATGATCATGATTCTTGATGGTCAATAATTTTGAAAACAATAAAATATTGAACTAAAAATATATTTTTCCTGTCTCATTGCATTAAAACTATGAATTTGTAAATTGAGATAATTCTAGAATCTAATGTTTAAAGATGTAGTACATCTTGGTGCAACTAAAAAGAAAAATTATAGAGAATCTAATTCACTCTTAGTTCTCAAGGCAATACCGAGAATTGGATCGAAATCGATCGATTCTCACCGTATGATCCCAAAATCGATCCATTTAATAGATAAATCGGAGTTGAACCAATCGGTTTCATTTGGTTCCGGCTCGGTTCCACCTCTTCCGAACAAAAAATTGCCCATCCCTAATTTTGTTTGTTGAATCGAATCGATTCAACACAACAATATTTGGTAATTTATACGAATATTATTTTTTTAAAGAATGTATAATTAAAAGGTAGAGAAAAGTTATAGATTTCATAGAAGGAGAAAATAATAATAATAACTTCAAAAAATCTCTCCCAGACAAGTTAGTGTTAAGTAATAATAACTAATATGATATCTTTCTCACCTATGACCCATTTATTGTGCAACTAATTATGCAATTATAATAAAAATAGTTAATCATAGCACTAATTGAAACCAATTAGGGGGCTGTCTCCAATTGGATTTATTAATTTTAAGGCTAAAAATATTCCAAGTACTATTTTTAATAATTAGATTATATTTTAAATGTATGAAATGTTAATAATCTTTTCATATTATTACATTTATCTCAAACTCTTTTCATCTTGTTGTTATTCTTAAATTACATAAATTATTCTTGATTATTATTTCTCTTTAAAATTTTCTTTAAGATATAGTAAAGAGACTCATTTGTCCATTGTATTTTTAAATAATCAAAATAAATAATAAAAAGAAGTGATTAAATATTTGACTTTCATTTTAAATTACATTAACAATGCCTTTGTTTGAGCCTTTTTTTAAAATCAAAATGTATTATTGAACAGTAATTTAACCTCATTTCAATCACGTTCTTCAATAAAATTATATTACATGTAAATTCAATTTTTTTTTTATTTTTTAACTACACATTCTCCTTGGTAATACTATTACAAAATGCATTTTTTTTTTCAAACAAACCCAATATTTTTGAACGAAAACCCTATTAAGGGGAAGATTTTTTTATTAAAGAAATGTTAAAAATAAAAAAAATGTGATGAAGAAAAAAATGAAGGATATAAGTGTGATTATGAATAAAGATTAATAGTTTTTAATATAATTAAAATATGGTATATTTATGAAAATAAATGTGGTGTGAAAATGACCTACCAAATTCCAAAGCAATTAAGCCCAACTGCCCAAAACATGTGAATAGTATTCAATTCCAGAGTATTCAATTCCAGTTGAGGCCCTGCCCGCGTCATCGATTCTTGTGACCTGTCTTGACCGACCTCTGCCCGTACGATCATGAACCTGCCCCCAAATCTTAACCGTCTATTGCCTTCCAAAAGAAACCTTTGTGTTAATGGTAAAATTATAGTAGAAGTCCCGAATCTATAGGTATTATAGCAAGTTGGGCACCTATAATTTTTAACAGATTGATCCTAACCTATTAAATTCGTAGCATCTAGACTTATGACGGTTTTATCAATGTTACATTTTAATAATCACATGACCCTCGTGTGTTTTCACTTTTTGAGAAGTAAAATAGACAAGCAAATTAATGTCAGAAAAAAAATAAAAAGATAAGAACGAAAACTAAAGAAAGAAAAACAACTTTCACTATCTATCTTCCATTCCTATGTCCAAGCCCTAACTCGCTCTAAAGCCCTCCCTCTCCTCACTCGAAGCCCCAACGCACTCCTCGCCCACTGTCACCGCCATTAATTTTTTACATGCCCACTACGTCATCGACTTTAGTCCACTTTTTTTGTCATTTCCTTCATTTAAATCCTCCATTGACTCGCTTACCTCACACTGGTCTTTCAAATGTCCGATCATGTTATTCTTTTATCCCCAGGCAATCATTCTACTACGTACCTCGAGTCACACGTGTTGAAGTTTGGGATGAAGTTGAGAAGGAGAAGTATTTCTTTTAATTGATAATAAAAAAATAGTTTTAACCTTTCTAAAGGCGACATAGATGAAAAATGATTTATAGAATATTGTAACTAAAAAAGTTGAAAAATCAACTTACTACAAAATATTCAAATGTTGGGGGACCTACAATGCAATTCCTTTTTATTTACTATTTTTAACTTCACAACCCGAAACCCTCGTAATAATTTTATCGATAAGTTTTCCACTGTGCCATTTGAACCTCAACCAACAACCCCCACACGCCAATTCTCAGAGAAAAGTTTCAATGGCGACTGAAGAGGTCAGCAAACCTCCAGCACTCCCTCCATATCGACAGGTAAAACGGTGAAATTGAAAAGTTTTATTACATCTTTGGACTTATTTTCCTCTTTGCATGTACTTTTACAACCTGTACCCAGACTTTACTGTTTTAATTTTATTAAATATTGATTTTTCTATTTTTTTTATTTGAAATTTTGAGCTGTTTCTTCCTCTCTCTCTCTCTTTTTTTTAATCCCTCGTTTTTCTGTTTTGAGGTTAATGAAAAATTAGCTATATGCACTTTGCTTCAGTTGATTAATTTGAATTTCGGCATTTTCATGGGTGTTGAAATCTAGTGCAATCACAAGATGGGGTTTAAACTTGTTCTTGCTGCAAATCATGGAAATTAATTCTTTATTAACAATTATTTTGTAGAAATTTTAGATCTTCTCGCCGTTAAGATTTCAGCCTTTATTTTTCAAACACTATTTCACCTTTATATGACAGCAGTGTTTAGCTATAAGCCTAGAAGTTAATCTTTGTTTACAAAAACTTTTAACAAGTTACTCTTTTATTACCAGTAAAATAAGTGATTATTTTGAAGGTATGGTAATGCTATTACTTATTTCTAAGTTAGACCAGCTTAAAATTTAGCTTTGCAAAAGCCCTGAGTTACTTATAAGTAAAATTTTTAAGCTTCACAAAACTTGGCACTATTTTTTAAAAAGTTTCAGCTTTAATTGTTCAAGCAATTGCAATTTTCACCAATGTATGACAGCACTGTTCAGACATTTCCAAAGGGAAATTTTGCAGAGGTTAAAAATTATACATCATTTTTTTTTTTTGCAGATGATTATGGAAGCTTTGGATTCATTGAAGCAAAAGGAGGGAGCAAACAAGACATCGATATCGGAATACATAGAATCCAAGTATAAAGACTTGCCTGCTGCGCATGTAAACTTGTTATCAGCCCATTTGACTGCAATGAAGGACAGTGGGGAGCTTTTATTCATCAAGAACAACTACCTGAAGCCGGGAACGGAAATCCCACCGAAGCGCGGCCGAGGACGTCCAAGGAAGGACCCAAATTCATTACCTGAACCGAAGAAGCCAAAGCCAGCGGCGGTTGCCCCAGCTGATTCAAAGACTGGAAGGCCAAGGGGCAGGCCGAGGAAGGTGAATCCACAGCCTGCACCAAATGGCTTGGAAGGTTAGTTGCGTTGGATGTGCAACTGGTGTAGACATTGGTTTTAACTTAAGTTGTTTTTAACATTTATGTTATTTTAGTAGGCGTCTTCCTTTGTGTTTCACCTTTGTATGATGTTACTTTGCGGACTGTGGTCTAGTTGTACTAGCTTTATGTAGTCTGGGGTTACTTATTGCTTGTCTTAACATTGATTGATGCTTACAAGTATTTCTGTGTGTTGACATCATCCTTAGTAAAGTTATTTTTAGTTTTAGCTTAACAGTTTGATTTTTAGCGAAAGGGCTCGACTGAAAGGACCAAACATAGTTAATCCGTGCACCTTTAAATCTTTGACACTGCGATTGGGTTTCAAGATTAAGCCCTTGTTTGGTAGAGATTAAAATCAGATTTTTAGTAGATTTTAATAAAAGTTGATGAAATTTGTGGTTGAAAAGTTGTGAGTAGTTAAAATTAATTATTGACTTTAACTTGAGATTTTAATTGGATTTTAATCCAAACCAAACATGGGCTAAATGTGTTTGAATAATAATTTCCTGAATCAATGCTAGTTCAAATTTGGAGATTATACTAGTCGAGAATTAAGAGTTTTGCACCTTTACTTGCGCGATTAAGGTGTCAAGAAAAATGAGATCGGATACTTGTTTCTTGAAAATGTATGAGAATGGCCTTTTTCATTTAAAACTGTGGCATGCTTGAATTAAATTGCAGTTTGTCAAATTTTATATGCTCAAATTTATTTGAAGCTATAACTTCCAATTCCGTACATGTATGCAAATTGTAACATTTGATTAGATTGCCAACGTTTGTATAACGCTAATTATGAGCTTCTTGGGGAAGTGATTAAGAGGTCGCGTCCAACTGACTAAACATGTTAGGACAACTTTGGACATAAAGAATTTATGAATAAATTATGAATAAAGTGTCTTTGTGTACTCTTCTTTTTAAATTCTACAATGATGTGATTGTTTAACACACAGGCACACATGGAATCTTGATATGTTAGCACGTCTCCATCCCATCTTGTCTAGGTGGAACTTATTGGAATCTTGTCTTGGTGGTACTAATATGTTTCAATCTTGTTACCTTGACACCTCCCTTTACGCCAAACTTATTGAATTTACATGGCATAATCTCACATAATCTTTCATATCTTACATAATTAATTCAATCATTAGAAAATTACCACATTATCTATATGTCAACCAAGTGATAAAGAAAGATATTAAAATGATTTTATCCAATATGTATATGAGCATTTTTTTTTTGAACTAGTTGATGAAGTTATCGTTTACCAAGACAATGATCAGTAGCTGGTATGAGAGGAAGATTAGACACATTTGAATTGAGACACGGCCTAAACTCCTATGAACTTCAATGGAGTTTGTAAACCAAACATTAGAACATTACACACATGTTTATAAACACCTACCAAACATATGCTAAATCAATTGAGTTGCACCATGTACTCTCTACAATTTGATAAAATTTTATAAAGCTTTTAAGTTTTGCAACTCCCTAAATTTGGAGAATCTTTATCACATCTTTGTTGAACCGTAAATTATTGTGCATGACTTAAGACCGACTCAACGTAATGAAGCAGATTTAGTTAATGCTGACCTCTAGAACTATTTTATATTGCTCAATTGGTCTTTAATGTGGGTTAGTTCTTCTAATGCCGACAATCGTTCTCTAATGTTTAACTTTATTCATTCAAGTGAAATTTGTAGACACGGTGCCAAACCTTTTATTTAATAACAGACTTGATCCAAATCTTTCATTTGTTCTACCCACGATGTCAAACATATCAAAAATTCTCACATGCAGTTCAAATGAATGGTTTCCGTTAAATTGACCGTTAGTTGCCCAAAAGTCCATCATCTAACCAAATGTTGACTAATGTTTAGAGAGTAAATGGGTAAATTTACATTTTTTTTGTATAAACTAAAATAATTAAATAACAAGAAAACAACCCACCCACCCAAACCATCTCCTTCTTCCCCATCTCTATACAACCCCCTTCCCTTGTCACAAATCGTCGCCGTCACCACCCAAATCGTCGATCGACACTGCCACCCTGGCTGCCAACTGCCACCGCCACCTAGGCCAACTGTCACCACTGTTTCTAATTCACCTAATTCAAACAAAAGAAGGAGGAGAAAATAATTCGAGATTCACCCAGCTTCTTCCTCTCTTTCTACCTCCAAATCCATCACTTTTACTAAACAAAGTGTTATTACTTGTTAGATACTTCTTAGAACAAATCAGCAATAGTTTGAGGGTGAATACTTTGTTGGACTTGCAACTTGCAAGATGCAAGTGTTTTGATTAATGAATTATAAATCTTTTCCTGGCTACAGTTGGATTGGTATCTCCAGTTAGACTATAGTGTGTTAGGAATCTATATTCAAAATTTTTAAATGATAATAGTGTGTCAAGGTATTTTCTTCCATATGGGATTTTAAGCCTCGAGATGCTTCCAAGTATAAATCAAAATGTATTGAAGTGTAAATTTATACATAAGCTAATAAATAAATAAATAATGATAAAGCTATAGAGGTACAATGGTTAAACGAAAAAGAAAAAAACGATGTTAACAAGTTTAAAACATTTAGATCCGTATAGTTCAAGGATATATGATGCAGGTTGCACAAGGAGAATTGTAAGAGAATGGGGAAGAGAAGAGAGAAGAAGAATGAGAGAATAGAGAGAAATTGGGGAAGAAAGATATCAATTTTCATTCATTCTAGGTTGTCAATTACATTGCATAAGACCCTTATATATGGTTTCAAGAGCCCCTATTCTAAAATGCTATAACATGTAATAAATCAAACATTAATAATGTTTCGTAAAATACGTATTAAAATTGAAAACTAAATAAACATGATATCCCTTCTTATTCTCCATCATTTCTCTTCAGTTGAGAGAACTCGACTCCGCCGAAGTAGATTGGAACTTCATACTCCAAGGAGGGCAAGCTCTTGTTTTCACCACATGCTTGTATTAAACCTTGGACAACAACATCCGACTAAGTTCATACCAAGGTGTGCCATGGAAGTCCCAAAAGCAAAAATTTTGGCCCATGATGCTCGGACTCTGGTGCGGGTGTCGAATACGGGTACGTATCTAGGAGACACATCCTTCTCATTTTTTATACTAGTATGGGATACGTCATACAAAACATTTTTCTTTTTTTTTTTTTAAATGATAAAAAAATTCCAAAATAACAAAGAGAAAATTTGTTTAATTAAAGCAAAATAGCAAATTACCACAATACAAATGTTTCATATAACGATGAAATTCAAATCCAAATTCAAGCAAAACATGATTCAAAATAAAGTTAACCATCCAAAATGTCATAATATGAAAATCAATAAGTTCTCCAATTGAAATCAGACTAAACAAGCACTCCGAACCAAGCATTAATCATCTTCTTCATCAAACGTAATTGCCTCCAATTCTGGCTCATCAAAGGATAGTTCCGCCATCTCAATACTACCATGGATATNATTAGATATCTAAAAAAACAAAGAATATAAGAATATAGTTTGCATATACAAATTCAATGGTTTGTTGGCCCATCTTTGTACTCATCTACCTTTTGTGATAGGAGTCGAAGATGGCAATGAACAAATACCAAGTCTTCAGTCCTACTTGTCGCCAATTTGTTTCTTTTGATACTTAAAATGAGTGAATACGTGCTCCAATTTCGCTCACAACAAGAAGAGGATGTTGGCTGCGAGAGCAATTTAAATGCCAAAGATTGCAGCAAAGGTACTGAAGAACCATGATTGGCCCACCAAGAGATTGGTTCTTCGTATATTCTTAACTCAATAACATGGGGTTGATTGAAATAATCCAATCCACTAGAAAAGGACCCAAATTCAACATATATTTTCCTCAAATCAACTGGATTTTCAAACAACCTTTTAAAGCATTTGCTTCTATTTATTGAAACTTTTTGATCCTAATGTGGTGCGATTCTTAGAATTCCTATACTTCCATCTTGAAGCCAAGCTTCATTTTAATACTTAGCCTCTGTTTGGGAGAAATTATTTTCTGAAAATGTATAAGAAATTGGACCGTTAGTGTACTATTGCCTGAAGTTACAGTACACTGCTCACTGTACAAGCAGTGAGAAATCAGAGGCGGATTCCGATTATACCCGTCATCCAACTGTTATGCCATTACTGTTGCAATCTCTGCAAGGGCAAAACCGGAAAGCGTAACCACATGGCAGTGAAATCATTCAAAGTTACTGTTGCCAATTAGGTTGATTTGACACAAAAAATGTATTATTTGTGGGAAAATGGTTACCAAACGGAGCCTTAGGAACCAAAAAGTGTGCCATACAATGCAAATGAGTGTTACTCTTATTCTATCTACTTTCCGAAACTTGACGAATAGCATAAAAAAAAATCTAAATGCCCAGAAACAATATCTATCCCTTCACGCTTAAATACAATTTTTTTTTCACATTTTCAATCACCGTATCTCACATATCATATATTAAATGTAAAACTAGGGAATCAGTATCAGCAACTCATAACATATTATGAATAGGCTCAGTAAAAGAAAAAAAATAATCCAAATTATCGCACCAAACATCATTGACTACACATGCTTTCACTTCTTGTGATTTACCTTCATTATTTCCATTCCTATAAATTCTCCAATCCAAATTCATCACCATTTTTCTCAAGTGATGGCCTAACTTCTCTTAATCGTTTACTTATTACAATAGCAGATGAAAATATTGTATCAGCCACCATCAACAAACACCATTTAGAATTTTATTGTTTATAGCTAATGCCATTCCATGATTAACAACAAAATTACGAATGTTTTGAACATCACTCACCAAATCAACAATCCATTTGTACAATGTGCGATTTTTCAGAAGGATCATATATACTTTTCAAAGCCAAATTCAGAATATGTACCACACAAGGAGTCATATACCTTGTTTCAATGCTTAAACCAGCAGCTTTATAGTTTCCTGCATTGTTTGTTATGATTTGAACAACATTTCTACTTTCAATTTGCTTGATTGCATCAATAAATGTTGCTTCCACGTATTCTCCATCTTTTATATTGCCACTTGCATCAATTACTTTAATAAACACGGGTCCATCTGCAGAT